AACAGACAGCTCTTCCGACCAGACATTTCAACTTCATTTCACATAAAGAACCAACTACTGGCTCTATGCGTCTGTTTATGAGCATCTGGCGGGTAACTCGTTAATCTCACCTGCTCCTTGGCTGCTTACTGTAGTACCGGCCTATCCATTCTGTGTAGTATTATAATACAACAGTGAATAGTAGACTATCGCAACATCTTAAGCTTTTCCACGTGTTTTATGTGGTTGATCTGTGCACGTGTTTGAACTTCGGAACTATATCATTCGTGAAGTCTCTGGTGAGTGTAGCAGGAAGAGGTCATATAAGATGTCATCGTTACATGCACACAAAGAGCAACCGGTGGACTTTTTAGCATTTCACCCCTTAAATCATACAAGTGAAATTTGTCTTGTGCTCCCAACTCAGGGTGTTGGACGCACGTCTTGGCAATCAGTACGCCAGCACAAAAGGAGAATATTGTGTACTTAATGGGTAAAAACAAGTACTTTATCCCTCCCTCCACTCCAGAGCAAAGGACACTCATGAAACGGTTCGGCTGATCTTAGAAGCATCATCCCCTGGAGACCTTCCTTGGCCAAGGTATGTGCGAATACCAGTGTACGCACCTAAAATTTTGCCAACATTACTGGGTTAAAGTAAAAGCATGACCTAAGTAAAATGAAACGTCACATACAAGAACCATATTTACCGCCCACCAACATTATCATCGTGGTGGAAGTCAGGGTAACTCTGCTAGGAGATAAACTAGCAGGAATTGCGTTTGAGTCGCTTATTCAGATTCACACTTGGGCGCTTTCTCAAACTTCAGAAGACAGAAAGTGTTTAAATTTATGTTCAAATCAAAAAGGGGTTTACCGTACTGTTATATCTGCTGATACACCGACCTGTAGTATCTGCTGCTTATTCGCTCCAGTGCTTAGTGCCGGAGAAAAAAGACTCACAGAAGGGAACACAACCACTATATTCCGAACAAGCGAGTGCGAGAGCGTGAGTGCGTGCTAGTGCAAAAGTTACAACGGCCCCACGCTATTTAAAGGGGACTTACTGACATTGATCCATGCACCCGTCAACATCGATCGTGCCTTTATGAAACGCCTGAACGCTGATCACATTCGGTCCTGCTTCTGTGGCGTGCAAGGACACTCATCAACTTTTGCTGAAGTTATTGGATGATGGACTGGCCTGGATGCTTGACGGCTTTCCTGTTGAGATTTTGGTGGAGCAGTAGGTTCCGGGCGTTCTGAGGTTACTTTCAGGAATTTGACCTTCCTGATACCTACTGACACGACTTTGGTGCGACAGATACCTCGGATACCTCGGAGTAAGGCACATTGCAAGTGGAAAGTTCCGCCAGCATACATTTAATTCGGAAGAACCTTGAGCACCATCTTGATAACTTCATATGGTCATGGGGGTGTTTGCAGTGTTTCAGCCCTAATCATCAGGCGTGCGAGCCCGTTCATTTTGTTACAATCACTTACGAAGACCAATCTTAAAAATGTCGGTCGATGCCTCTCTCTTACTGAAAACAGTTTGGTGTAGGGTCCGAAAAAGCCTTAAAATGCGCTACATCACCCAGATGTATAGCATAAGATGGTATATGTAGAAAAATGGAATATGTCCTTTTGTAATCTACATGAATTACTTTACTCGTTGACTTAAAACCCAGTGGTTTGCTTCCCTCTCCCCCAAAGACCCCTTCTGGAAAGATCATCGTCATCATATCATCATTAGAAAACAAATTCCAGGTGGTTCCTCAAAAGGTATCCCAATAAAGACCATTTCCAGGAGGGACTGTCTTTGATCGTTCCACTGAAGCGTTTTGTCGGTGAGATATCCCCATTTAAAAGTGGTCACGCCTGGACGAGATTAATGTGTGGAATCTTTGGAGAAAAAGCATACCAAGGCTGTTCACTGTGGAGGGATCTGAGAGATCTCATGACCATGATTTATTTCGACATGTTGACCCTTCCAAAAGAGACCGAAACGTGGAAAAATCTGCAAATGATCAGCCACCAGTGTCTCCATCTAAAAGGCTATGCCTTCTTCGGGGAAGATTGTGGCAGGTGAACGCCGTATGAAGAGGCACTTCATGAAATCCCAAATCACATAAAGGAACAACTTTATCCTCATATCAACGGTCAGACGTCTGCTGTTGTCAGAACACTTGAAACCTCAAAAAACAGGTTTTGCATAGTGGTCCCTGTTGGGAGGGATTTTTGTCCAAGACATTAGAATGGTCTCCATTAGGAGTACGCAGTAGTTGTTCTCAATTTAAAGCCAAACATCACTAGATTGTAGTGCGCTGGTTCTAGTTAGGGGATTATCTCTCTTGGACACAGCCTACTGCGGGTCTGTTTTAGTAGCAAAATACATTAAGGACGAGATTCAGGCGGGTCAAATACTAAGTGAACTAACTGAACCGATAAACAGCATTTCAGTGGTCGACATTTAGTTTTGGGAACCTCTGAAGCTTTGTAACTTACTGCCGAAGGTGATGAGTGAGTTGCCTCCGGTCCATAAAAAGCGCCTACGTTTAGAAGTTACAAATCTCCACTTTTTATTGTTGTCGTTTCTGATTTAGCTGCTGTTTGTGGTTTCTGAATGGATGTTTAAATTCTAGCCATTATTTCATCCCTCAAATGAAACCATATACTGAAAGGCTATTTGAATGTTTTCATCAGTGCTGAGAATCTTCTGCACTGCGTATTTCACAAACTTATAAGATGACCTGTGTCCGCATTATTACGGTTAGCAGTTCAGCAATACACTATTCGGTCACGAACGTTAACAAAACGCACTTCGTGGGTATTTTGTTGTGCATCGTGTTCCGCTCATGGAAATATAGGAATATAATTGCTGATTGTGAAGAGGTCAAATGCTGAGCACGATCTGTGGATTGTCGCTTGGTGGAGGGTTATTCTAAACGACTAGCAACCGAATGAGACGGAATAATAGACTACTATCCTAGAAACGCCTAACAAACTTTTAGTTATACAAATTTATTTAATAAGTTTTACCCCCTATAATTTGTTCAGGACTAAACATAAAATATCCTTTCAATAGGATTCCCCCCATTCTAACATTACTTTCAGTAGTTCTTTCCTCTCAATGTAACCATCGCAGTATCAGACCTCTCAATTAAAACCACCTGCTTAGTACCACCGAATTCTCTTGACTTTTCAAGTTTGTGGGGCACCTTATGCACTATTTTGTCTTATTGAGCCGCTCACCTTTGTAACGCAGTTCCAAAATATCCGGAATATTGTTTTCATTCTCATCCTCTTCATCATCGGGAACTCCATCACCATCGTCATCTTCATCCAGGTAGTCAGGAATGTTGTCATTATCATCATCGGTATCGACAAGATCCAAAATTCCTAAGCAGTTTGCATGAGGGAGAGTAAGTGACTGCTCGTCGGTACTAATGCCCAAAAGTTTACTGAACACTGCTACGTTAGCTTAAAGCTGGCTTCCATAAATTCTGCTTTAAGTAAGAAATTGTCCAAATTCCCTTTAATTCTGTCATACAAGTATTGGGCGTGGAATTCTGTCGTTGGTGTTTACGAATAAAGCTAATTTGTTAGGCTCCTAACGAGTCTGTGCTGCCATAAAATGTCATGTTGGATCACAAATGTGCTCAGTTACCCCTTTGCTAATGAACAGAAATGAGTAACTCAATACAGTTGACCTAAGGAGATTGAGCCATATGCAGTTGCTGTTAAGGTTGTCGAAAGCGCAAACAGGATGGGCGGATTATAGTGAAGCAACATGTTAACCCCAATAATAACGTACCCCTCTATAAGAAGTGCCTCTCTATGGGGACCATTCTTAGTTGGTCCTGTCAAATTCATCATTATTTGCCTGGAATCCTTTCCAATCATCTCAATAAACTCAACTCAGTGGACTATAATTTTCTCTTTCTAAACCGGAACTCAGGCAGTTGACTTTCTCAAGGGCAACTAGTCCTCATATGTGATAACATTTAGTCCGTCCCCTTTTCCACTCACGGTAGACAGCAGGAGTGACAACCTTGTACCACTGAAATCTGTTATTAAAGAAATTCTCAGCAGAAATAGGCCAGCCTGTAGGAAAGGTCTTGCTATAAAAAGCTGAATGTCTCATGTGTTTGAACCATCCAGATGCGTCTCCTCTAACTGTTAGTAGCCGTTTGGGGGATAAAGGCTGGCAATATTTGACGGATTTTTACGCAGTTCAAATGCGAGAGGGCCACAATTAAATTGGTATTCTGAACTACTTGTGATCTTCGATAGGCAGAAATGTCCCCACAGGTAAGCATAGTGCAATCCAGAATTGTCACATAGGGTGTAGTCATTTTGAATTTCTAGTTGCGACTTCCAAACATTGTGGAATAGTTGTCATTCCACTTGCCGAACCATACTAGAAAAATGTGATTGATACTTCTGTCTAACCGGGAAACTCTATATGTTTTCCTGGACTGCGAAAAAATGACCCACGCATACCAAGAAATACTCCATGAGATAACACTTATTATTACTTCACACAGTTCTGCCAATTATTAGTGAAAAAAGTGTATCACTGTTTAAGCTTCCACGAAGCCCATGTACTTAGTGAAACTGAACGACATTCTCGCGAGTTAGGCAAGAGTTTTTAAAATGTTTCCATCTACTCTTCAACCCACCTTTGACAGTCAGCCCCAAAAAGATGTTTACACTGGGCTACCAATGTAGTAAGCCAAACCTGAAGCTGATTCGATTGCAAGGATGACAAATTACGTACTTAGGTGGTCCGGTGGTTAACTGTCCCTTTGGATATCCTTGAGGATGTCCAGCATCAAATATTTTTTCAACTTATAAACTACTTAAAACTAAGTAGGGAAAAACCAAGGATCCAACTTACCATCGCCATCGCTGTCTTTCAATTCCAGATAATCCGGAATAGCATTTTGATTTTCATCTTCCATGTTATCGGACAATCCTAAGTTTTGTCGAAAAAATTGCGGGCTTATGCGTATTTTCTTAAGCAATCTGCAGTGTAAGTAAAATCTCTACGCAAAATAGTGTGTATATATATAGGGATAATTGGCACGACTCATCAATAAAATTAGATGAATTCCACAGAACTGCATCAAAACGCCAAATCTGGCTTTTGTGCGGGAACTCGAAAGCCGCACAAGTCTAACGATGGCTTTTTCAACATAGGTTCATTAGAACGGAAATATATTTCACCAGAAAACGTGAATAGTATGCAATTTTTTGGAGTAGAAGTAGCAAAACAAATCCATCTTATGGGAGCGCGAATGTCAGTACACTTTCACAGTGGGACCACTTTAAAACAACTCCTTACCCATTTAAAAATCCTGTCACTATTCTTCTACCAGATTTGATCAGGGTAGATCTCCAGTTCATGAGTTAGTGGTTTCCTGTAGGACAGCTTTGTTAGGCGTGAATATGCCACTCATGACTGACCCTAGGCCTGTTGGTAACACGATAGCCACACACACAAAGTTAACACAGTCTAATTACATTATGAAAGTAAAACAATAACGAAATTCGCAGCAATTCTTACAGAACGAAACAGTGAAGATACCGCAGTGCATTTAATTCCGCCTGGAAAATGTTTCTTCCCTGCGTCACAGTGATTACTGGTTCTAAAGTGACACGAAAAACGAGTTGTAAATATTGTCACGAAGCCAGATCTTTATCCATCTATCCAGGCCAGTGAGAAAGAATGGCTCGCATGTTTTCACATCTGTATTCCAAACGAGGTAAGCTCACTTTACCGTGTTGGTCGTGTCTGCTCATGGTTTGCGCCAACATCTTATTCGGACATGGCTTAACTAACAGTTTGAACATCCTTACGCGATTACTGTGGTATCCTTGAAGACTGAACAAATTCACCTATGTCTCCCCATTAGTCGGAAAAAGCTATTGAGCTATTCTGACCATCGCAAAGTTTTCTCTTGAGAACGTGAATTCATTGAAGCAAGTTCTTTCTCTCCTGGTGAGAGTTAGTTATCTTGCGCAGAGTGCTGAAGTTTCAGCAAAACTTGGGAGCCAAGACTAAATTTCAGGGGAACTGTTGCTTATTACTCATTGTATTAGGGAAAGCATCCACCCATGAAACTCATGAAAACACGATTTTTAACTGTTAAACCTTCCCGTTTTACTGTGTCGCGTAAAGTCAGCAGTAAGTAGGTCGATAAAAAAAGTCTTTGACGAAACTTACCGTCGTCATCATCGTCGTCATCCATGTGGTCTGGAATACCATCATTGTCATCATCGTCATCCAAGTAGTCAGGTATCCCATCTCCGTCACTATCTTTCCCCTCAAGAATATCCAACTTTTGATTGTGGTTCTCGTCTTCCTCATAATCTTTAATTCCGTCATTGTCATCATCGTCATCTGAGGACAGAAAGCATGACCAGCATGGATAAAGGTTAGTCTTCAGTGGTGATCAGCGGTGAGTCACAAGCTGGGAAAACAGCAGCTTGCACACAATAAAGATTTTTAACCTAAACAGAACAAGATTTGATGTGCACAGCCAATTTCAACGTTGCAAAAGTTTGCGTATTTGGAAGAAAAAAGGCCTAGTTTAAAAAATGAAGTGGGCTGAACAATCAACTACGAAGTAGCACTCTCTAAGCTCTGCTGATACAGTTAAGGAAAGGCATAATTTTCATCCTTATCCGAAAAGTGGATGTAAACATGAAGTGCAGCCTGTTTGGAACCAAGAGTGTTTGTTTCTCAATTAGAGTTCCCCACTTCGACTTTAAGGGTCATACTAACACGGCAGCTACCGTAAAGTGAAACAGAGACCTGACTCGGGTTTTACAGCTTCAGTTTTGACTTAGGTGCAAGCGAAGTCCGAACATATTAGGTTTTGAGGGGAGCACTTATCATCACTGACTCTACACTTTCTACCCTTAAAAATCACTTCAAACATGTCTCAAACTGGCCTGTAAAACACACCAGTCTTTTCAAGAAAAGCATTTTCATAGGGTCTTCCTGGCCTCGTACAATAGTGGATACAGTAGGAACATGCATAACCAACATTCCGATAATTATGATGTTTTTGGGATCAATTTACTGTTTACACAATCTACTTGGTTCTAGACCACGCATGACCTCAATTGGTGATGAAACGTCTGTAATCCAATTGCCAGCGAACAAACGACCATCTATGCTACCTAAGCTGCCGTCATTTTCCTCTATTCGCCTTATTGTTTCCTGTCTATGGGACGTATTACAACAGATAAGTGATAAAAACGTTGCAGAACTGAGAACAACAAAGTGGACACTAGAGATGCCACAAGTACAACCTTGAAAAACAGAACTATACCGTTATTCAGAATCAATATCAGGGCGAATGATGATCATTCCAAATAAAAAATAAAATAGCTATGCTTCATAGACAGACAGCCGAAACCAGGAAAAGCTATACATGTGCTCACAAATGTCTGAAGTAGCATCGGTGATTCAGATATTGCAAGGACGTCAAGTTACACGTTCTATCACTGAGCGTTTTAGCAATGAGTGAGATAGTCACAGTCTATCTGCTTGGAGAGTTGATTTCCTGTTGTCATCTGCGATACTGCTACATGTACGGAAGTGCTATTGACGTCAGTTTCACTACTGAAACTGCTTTAAAGTGCTCCACGATATGTGACTGATGGCAAGACCCTTGGTGTTTTGGAGTCTACTCTGCACTGAACCAAGTTGCCGAACGAAGTAGACGTCCTAAAAGGATACTTCGGTTTGATGATTTTAATCGCCTAATGTGTAGATGAATCGTCTCGATATGGTTCAAACGTTGCTCAAATGATGCAACAGAACCTAGCTACCTTTGAAAAGTAGCACCACACATCCATTTATATCAAACTCAAGAGTCTGCGATCAAGTCAATCGAAATTCTCTTTGTTGGTTCAGCTGTTTTTGTTTTTGTTGATTTTCTGGATCACCAAGTCTAGCCATTTCTACTCCAAGTTTTCTCGTGCTTGTTCGAACAGACTATTATTTAATGTTATTGATGAGGGTCAGTGGAACGGTTCGATGCTCTATTAGTGACACATTCATGATAAGTACAGGGTTTAACAGTAAATGCCTTGGCAACAAACGAAGTGGTCGTGTCCATTCAATTGCTACCAATCTTAACTGCTCGAAATAGCGGACCTTCATTGCAGGTCTCTTCTTCGAAAGCCATGGCGCTAAGGGAACATGTTGTAATTGTTCATCTGTTTGCATTTTGCGTACTCACGGATTAACCGTCTAGTCTGTCGTGCAAAATAGTGAGAGCAAAAACAACCGCTTGAACAAGTAGAGTGTACCTCAATACCAGGCTTGGTCAGTAGCTTCCAAGAGCAGCCAGGTCTTTTTCAAGTATTCAAGCTTTCGGTCAAACTAATTGTGGCCCCCCAAAACCAAATAGAGTGATTGGCCAAGGGATGTCGCCAAAAGCATAGCACGGATATGCAGACCATATTCAGATATGTACTGACTCGAAGGCTGTAACCCTGAGCACAAGGGAGATGCTCTAAAAATCATTCAGCTGCCCAAGTCGTATGACCGGAACAATCACTTTAATAAGCGTTGTTTTGAGTAACTAGAAAAATTTAATCTGTATCTTGAGGGTACTGGTTTTCATCTGAGCTGCTGAAGGAAACAATATAGAAGAGTGGTGGGGGGAGGTTTACATAGTAGGATAGCTAGGGCATACCACTACAGTTTGTGAAGCGGTAGTACGTAGAGAAAGCTCTGAAGTACATGATTCGTAATCAGCAAAGTGGTTTTTATGACGTAGGTCTCACATTGTACTTGATAAATTCAAATGAAAGCCAGTACATGCAAGCGGCGGTCTCAGGCATGAATGGCAATGTTTGCCAGTAGAGGATCAAACCATATTTTCATGCGTAAAAAGGACAAGCCTCCAGTAATTCTGCAGCTGATTCTTCTGTCGATAGAACAAGCACTCAAGAAGCGACAAACGAATCAAGTAGAATGCACACAGAAATAGGGTGGGATTTGAGGCAAAATGACACATGAACGAGGAAGTGCCAACGACTTTCCAGCCAGTACACGGGACATGGATACTGAGAGGAATGGGGCAGGAGATGATGGTGGGCAAAACCACACGTGAAACGGCCCGAACGACCATTATCGACAACAGCCCGGAAGCGCGTTCAGGAGCAGCCAGTTCAGGAGGCGGTGTGGGTGACGTACAAACAGCATGGCAGAAATGCAGTGTATCAAGAAGAAATACCTTCGGCGTCAGGAATGCCATCGTTATCATCGTCATCGTCATCTAGATCAACAATTCCATCCCCATCACGGTCTTTTAGTTCCAGATGATCAGGAATCCCGTTTCTGTTTCGATCTACGACTGAACGTTAAAAAATAGTTGTTTTTAGTAAATTTGAAATGAATCTTTGATGGTTATGACTATCTTTGTTCCATTCAAATTATGTTTGATCAATGGTCATTTAGTAGAAGCGAATTCATCTACAACTGTCACAACTTGAGGTCGTCGTATAGATTTCATTTATTTCTCTGGCAATGGTCTTGCGAAATGGCCCTATAATTATATACCGTGTTTTGCTCATTAAGTGATGGAATTCTAGGGGAAGCATCGGACAGCCTTGAATCGTACCATACTCCGGAAGCTGGATGCATGCACGAGACTTCTTTTAACTCGGGCCACTGAGCAAGGTGAGTCGTGCCCGGTTCCATCAGCTAGCCGTTACATTTGAAGTTAGTACGTTTCCAGGTAACCAACCCACGCCTTGCCGGAGGACCACCTGTAGCTTTAAACCTGAGAGTTTGCACTGGAGGCTAACGGACGTAACTGTAAGTCAACACTACTTATAATTCTTTAGTGTACGAATACCGCTGTGGTTATTCTGGCCGGGTGATAAACGAGGGGAAAGTGGGTACCGAGGTACCGTACACTGTAAGCAACTATGACTCTTTGATAAGTCCTTAGATGACGTACGCAAAATGAGCTTCCCTCATACTGTTCATGAATCGCGTTTCTAGTCATGTGCAGATCTGCTAATCAAACAATATGGTATTCAAGTGATCCGTTTTGAATGAACTATTTGGATTATCCAAGAAATGTGGATAGTCAAACACACCAGAAATGTAATAGGCTGATTTGGAAACTCAAATTTCACAAAAAAACGATTCGTGGTCCATACATAGCGCAGATGATGTCTTCATAGACGACTTCTATGTGAAAGTGACTTCCATGGTTATGGTAAAAGAGCTACTCTGAGATTCGACTTCATTTTAACTGTGAGCAGGCTAATGATTAGTCATGAGACGAGGTTCGATCTGCCAAATGTCTCTAATCCTATTTCCAGTATTCGCCTATTCCTCTATTTACACTGAATCGATCATTCGAGTAACACCATGTTTCTGTGCATGCTGACCATCTTACCAACTCACAATACTTCCTATCAACCAGAGTACACATCCATCAAACACTTCCATGGGTCCAAAAAAATTGAACTCACTAACGATACATACAGAGTATTGGAAAGCCAAGTATCTCCAGTGAGGTCTGAGGAAGATCCACAGTGAGAGAAGAGTGACAACTGTCATTTTGACTACCACAGTGAGTAAGAGTCTCAAACGTGTACCAGAGCGCTTCCCAAAAGGGCCGCGAAAAACCATGGTAAGCACACGCAATAGATAGAAGGGGCTAATGAAGAGGGTGGTCCCTAGTTGCAAAGTCAGAGCTAATGTGGAAGTGGCACACTTTCTAATCCAGGAACTTTTTGTTTAGAAGTAAAACTGAATGTAATGTCACATTCGCCTGATGAGAGATCACATCATGGCGAGAAATTAGCTCTGGGGGGGGGCTGTGAATCATTTTTTGAGGCATGCAGATTTCCCTTTGTTTTTGTGTAGGGTTATCTCGTCTAACCATGAAATTTACAATGCACTTTTTGATATCCACTTATTAGTATAAAACATTTATAGGCATTATATTTCTCTGAAAGATCCGTAAGAATGAGGTTTTTAAAAATATACTTTTAAATATTACATATTTTCGGCACGCACGCTGATGTGTTCTCCTAAGTCTCATTTCTGAAGTTGACTTGCATCTTATTGGAACACACACAGACAAACTCAGGTACGAATGACTGAAAATTCTACGTGCTGCATGAAGGGCTTCTTAGGTTCATTTTTTTCGACATAAGGAACGTTTATTTCTGTTATGCCTAAAGTGGGTGTATATAACTACTCATTCTTTCAGGTGATTACGTTAAGATAGATGTGTTGGTAATGCATAACACAGTTGACTTCATTTTTCCGCTCTTACCATTTGTGGAAGACTACGATGGTTCTTCGGATACATAGATACTAGATACATACTAGTGAACATGGCTTAGTGGTGCACGGTGGGTACGGTGTGAGCTACTGGGGGTACAAAACCATCGATAGGTTTTTTCCGTGCGAAGTTTGGCAAAAAGGCAGTTTGCTTCTTCTGTGTTTCTTCTAGATACCGCCGTAAATAAAAAGCTCACATCTTTATGTCATCATCATCATCATTGATTGCATGATATTAGTGTTCAACACCGATGGTTTGCTGACGTACACCTGAAGATGTAAGCGCCATGTGGAGAGCAGATATTGAACGCAAAACCGATTCAAGGCGAATGGAGTCATCAATCCTATGTGCTGGGCCTACAAGGAGAGAGTTGTTAATGGGGTAGGGGAGAACGGGAAGAAAAGGTATGTGGAAGAGAAAGAAGGGAGGTATCAGTAGTAGCTTGTTTTCGCTCACCCGCAGCAAGTAAGGCGACCCTGCTGATGACAACAAAATACGGCCGATGTGGCATCAGCATGTTGTTAGTTGCAACTGTCATTGTTGTGTGTATGTATTATTACTTGAAGCGCTTGAACTGGAAAGTCAGTGAATCAGACCTGATCAGAATGGTCTGAAATTGCCCTAACACATCAACCCTAAGATTTTGGTACCTGCACTAACCAACATGACCTTTTAACTGATATTCAGCATTTATTAAATGTGCTAACCAGAGGAGATATTGCCGATGTTACCTCCTTCTGCCTTAAAATTCAGTCAGCTTGGTAATCTGCTCACTTGACCTGGGGAAGCTTTTGTGTCAAAAGCAAAAAGCTATCCAGCTGTAAAACCACCTGTCAAACTGTCTGAAGATTAAGAACTGGTATTGACAGTGAAGTCGGGGCCGAAACAGTAATTTTGCAGAATGGGGATAAACTTTCTTGATGAACCTTTCTGATGGTCGCAGCAGTCGTTGAGAAGCACCGAAGTATTTTTGCTCATCCATCAGTGGATGGGTCAAGAAGTTTTACGAAGGCAATGCCTCTTAAATTACAGAATAAAACAACAGAAAATTGATGAATCGATCCGCCTACTGTGTAATATTGAGAAAGCAGATCCGGAAATCTCCAAGATAATAAGCACGGATGCTCATGAATCGCGGAAGCAAACCAATGTATTGCAAGAGTACTAACTCACCTTTTGTTCTGTCATCAGGGATTCCATCACCGTCAGCATCGCTTTCCAAATAGTCTGGGATTCCGTCACCATCTGCGTCCTCCTCATCATCTGGAATTCTACCACCATCGGAATCGAGATCTCGCAGCCTAACGGAAAGATTCCTCTTAGACTTTTTCACCCTCTTCTGTTTAGATTTACCAGGTGGTTTACGAAATTTAGCGTTTGGATCGTCATCGTCCAGGTAGTCTGGAATGCCATCTTTATCTGTATCTTGCATGTAATCAAGTACACCATCTCCATCGGAATCACCTTCTAGTTGATCTGGAATGCCATTTTCATTGAGATCGGAATATCTTAGCCGACTTTTGGGTTCTTTTTGCTTTCGTTTCTTTTGGTTCAATTGATTATTCTCCTTGTCCAAGAAGTCTGCGATTCCATCACCGTCTTGATCGTCCATGTAGTTGGGGATTCCATCACCATTCCAGTCTTCCAAATAGTCAGGTATGCCATTCCTATTGATGTCAGCATCATACGCTTCTAGAACGGCTTCAGTTTCGACGTCCACGACATCTTTGTCAAGATAATTTGGAATTCCGTCACCGTCGGAGTCTTCTAAGTAATCAGGAATTCCGTCACCATCTGTATCTTCCAGATAATCTGGTATTCCATCTCCATCGGAATCACCCTCCAGACTATCTGGAATGCCATCTCGATTTTTGTCGGTGAAGTGTTTTGGAGAGAACTGACTGACAGCATCTTCATCCAGATAGTCTGGGACTCCGTCTCCATCAGAATCCTCCAAGTAATCTGGTATTCCATCGCCGTCACTGTCTTCAAGAAAATCCAATACACCGTCCCCATCAGAATCACCCTGCAAGTGGTCCGGAATGCCGTCACCGTCAGTATCTTCAAAGCGAGTAGTAAGTTTGAGTCTACGAAAGCCCCTGGGTGAAAACTGCGTTGTCGCATCTTCGTCAATATAATCTGGAATCCCGTCGCCATCAGTATCCTCTAAATAATCTGGTATACCGTCAGAGTCACTATCCTCTAGATAGTCTGGCGTACCATCACCATCGTTGTCCTCCTCCAAATGGTCCGGTATACCGTCTCCATCAACATCTGCGTAGTTTCGCTGTGGTCTAAGCTTACGCATTATTCTCGGAGCAAATATTGTGGTTGCGTCTTCATCTAGATAGTCAGGAATGCCGTCATTATCTGAATCTTCTAAATAGTCTGGAATCTGATCACCGTCTGAATCTTCTAAATAATCTGGAATTCCGTTTCTATCGAAATCACCTTCCAAATGGTCTGGGATTCCATCCCTGTCAGCGTCTGCAAATTTTTTGCCTGTAGCTCTTCCACGGATCTTTTTCGGAGAAAACTGGGTAGTAGCATCTTCGTCCAGGTAATCCGGTATCCCATCTCCATCGGAATCCTCCAGGTAATCTGGAATACCGTCTCTGTCCGTGTCTTCTAAGTAGTCCGGCGTACCGTCGTAGTCCGAATCACGTTCGAGGTGATCGGGTATACCGTTTTTATTTTTATCCTCAATCTTGAAAATGGATTTTGACTTCCGAAGAACTGAGTCTTCATCTAGGTAATCAGGTATTCCATCACCGTCAGAATCTTCCAGGTAGTCTGGGATTCCATCCCCATCTGTATCCTCGAGATAATCTGGTATACCGTCGCCATCAGAATCACCTTCCAGATAATCTGGAATCCCGTCTCCATCTTTGTCGTCTTTTTTCTTTAACTCTGCCACTTTTTCCAGAACTTTTGGGGCGAATTGTGTTGTGGCATCATCGTCAATGTAGTCAGGGATTCCGTCTCCATCAGAATCTTCCAGGTAATCGGGTATTCCATCGCCGTCACTGTCTTCCTGATAGTCTGGAATCCCATCGCCATCTGAGTCACCTTGAAGATGATCCGGTATTCCATCACCATCCGCATCACCCGACTTTAGCCTTCCTTTCAACGCCCGCATCCTCTTGGCTGAGAATTTAGTTGTTGCGTCCTCGTCTTGATAGTCAGGAACACCATCACCATCTGAGTCTTCTAGATAATCTGGAACTCCATCCCCATCGGTGTCTTCTAAGTAATCAGGAACCCCGTTCCCATCCGAATCTCCCTCAAGAAAATCAGGTATGCCATCATGATCTAAGTCATAGTCTAAATGATGCTTCTTTGCATGCTTTCTAACCTTTCTGGGACTGAAGTGCGACTTACTATCTGGATCCAGGTAGTCAGGAATTCCGTCACCGTCGGAATCCTCCAAATAGTCAGGTATTCCGTCACCGTCTGAGTCCTCAAGATAGTCCGGTACACCATCTCCATCCGAATCAATTTCCAGATGATCTGGAATACCATCTCCGTCCGCGTCTCCACTTAACTTACCGCGTATGTAGTTTGAGTCATCGTCCAAATAGTCGGGTACTCCATCTCCATCTTCGTCCTCTAGGTAGTCTGGCACACCGTCACCGTCTTCATCTTCCATGTAGTCTGGGATTCCATCGCCATCGGAATCCCCCTCCAAATGATCGGGAATACCATCATCATCTTCATCTTCATCATAGTCATCACCGCCATCGTCTTTATCACTATCATCTTCGTCTTCCACTTCCGCACCCTTATCTTCGTCGTCATCGTTATCTTCAACTAGCTTGGTTGGAGTGAGTTTGTTCCGTAAAACTCTTTTGTTGGCTCGCACAGCTGCGCGGATGCCACTGGTGTCTTTTGCGAGCTCCGCATGACAATTCTTGGCATTGCAAGTTCCCGTTGTCAACTTGGTTGGGTTTATTCCGGGTTTCGCAGACTAGAAACAGAAAACATGTGGATTTGTACGTGCAGGATTATTTCGACAGTTCTTTCTTTGGACAACATAGAAGCAGTAGCACAACTGGTAATAATACTAACAGTGATAAAAATGCATCGCAGCAATCAAATAGTCTAACATGAGGAGTGACGCAAAAACTTTTCAGAGCTAGCTGTAACTAATACCAATCGTAGCCAATGGAGTCGGTTATCGTGACTTCACTGTTGATATACCGAGGGGTACGGTCAGCTAACTCGACTGTGTAAACTGTCACACAAAAACCCTAGCTCATCCAGCCTGCTATGTGAAAACCTTTTGCGGTACGGTGAGTTTGCTCCTTACTACGCTGAACTCTGTGTGCATCCGTTAGGAGATTTGAACAGCGCCCCTTAGGATGAAAATTATTTTACTTTGCCTTAAGGATTTTGAGTACTATTGGGCCATTCGTTTGGCAAGACATCCCACTGAACCCAAACACAGGTAGCTCAGAGCTGTTCTGTATTCTGTTCTGAGGAAGATAGGTAAGTTCCGCTGCACATTACAGTCACGCCCTAAACTAGTTTTTCGGGTAGAAGTCTAACGTCGAATGTATAGCTGCCCAATTACACCATGGCCCTTATGGCATCTGGCCGGTAGTAGCTTCTATTTCATTGTAGAAGTCATCCAAGTGACTCACTGATAGCCTTGAGAGACACCGGCTCGTAATCCACTAGATAGAAGTGCAGCGAATCACACGAGGATTTTATGTGTGCAAGTGTGGCCTGTAGCGCAGCTGTTTGGTCAGTAAAGTGCAATCCGGTGACTTTTCTTTCCTATTACTTATAATCGTACTTTTCAGTTCATGAATGCAAGAAGTATCAAGTATCACTAATGTCTCACCACATTTATGTTGGTAATTCGGAACCTGATATGTCGTCTTCCCAGACGTGTTTCGCCGATGTCGGAGACACTCCGAGAAACATTCTCCATAAGTACAAATACGAAATGGACATAGTGGTTTATAATGCGTGCAAGATTATGGAATATAGCGCAAAGGTCTATAGTGGTTTCTGAATTTGCACCAAATATCTTGCCAAGTTTGTGTGTTGTTTCAGGCAGATCTATCTAAAGTGTCTCAAGCTATGTACAATCATCATTGCTCTCAGTTTCTAACAAAATGTGTCTAAATCACCTCACCTTTCGCGGATGTTTGTTAAGGTATATGGGTCAACGAACATTTTTGGGCGTAAAAAGGAATCGTTCTTGCTAGCGTCCTGAAATCTTATGGTGTCATACTGGTTTGTCCCAAAGTGCAGATTGGGTGGAATTCTACTTATTAATGTTTCAAACGTCTTAGTCACTATCACAGCTTGGCAAGTAACCTAACCAGCGACCATTGTTTGCAAATCCTAATCCTGTTGAACATCCGAAACAGAATTTCCCATCGAGTGCAGTTCTTAAGCGTCATGTAACCACACTTTGCTGGAGCGAAGCGAACCAACTTTCTGCAGTTAACAGGAATTGGGAAACATTGCCAGCATCACTGTGCTGAATGATTTCCACTATCGTTTAGGTAGGATTATACATTTTATTCGGGCTTCCTGTCATCCTCTGCGTCCACCTAACCTCACTCATCGGCATCAGTAAGTTGCGCGCAAAAGTGCAATTGGTTCAATACAAACTGCTTGCGGTGTGCCAAGTACACTTGAAAATCCCGTGATTGAATCGCTACAAACAGGCATCCTTGTGTAGGTCATAGGCTGTGTAGTGAGAGGTGATGATAATAGTAAGGTGTAAATCAATGTTGGCACCATTTCTCAATCCTTTTGCTCAGTGTCGCGCTTAAAAATACTTTGTTCATAAGCCCATGAAACACCCCACTGGAAGGACAAATAGTCTGATTGTTTATTACATATTCCACTGTCTGAATGCAACACAGACAAACCGGTTAAACTGAAGCACAACTGTGGAGCATGATGCAAAACCTCAAACGCAAACCTTTTTTGAGGTAGTATCAGGTTTTGCCTTCTTGAGTCCCGCTTCCAACTTAGCTTTCTGCGCTGCCACCATTCTAATGGCTTGGGCGTCGGCTGCCATTGCCCCAGAGAATAAGAAGCTTCCACTTGGCTGTTCTTCTGATTCAGAAACGAAATCTACCATATCGTCCTCAAGATTTTCATCAGAATCTTTCACATTATCTTGATGAATATATGGTGGGAACTCTTCATCGTCATTTTCCAGGGTATACGTGACCAGCTTCCTTCCGTGCTTAGACTCTATCTTCATGTAAGATTTCTCGGACTTTTTTGAGTTGATTTTGTCAATTGTATTGAGACCTGGATGGCTGGGTTGTTTCTTCGCATTAGAGACAGTCTTTGGATTGTGAGGCCTGAGTTTTTCGACCTTCTGTTCCTCTTCTCGTTCACCTGGTGATTGAACTGGCGGGGCTGGTGTCGTCTGTAAAGGGCCACGAGTTGGTGGACTGTTCATTTTATTCCGCATTTTGATCAGTTTGCGTTTTGCCTCCCCGACCATAAATGCGATATGTTGTTCTTCTTGAGTGGGTTTCCGTATGCGGATCACCTTCTTCACCAGACCAGAAGGTGATCTGACCAGTTTATAATGAAGCTCATCATCACGCCGGCAATCTGGTATTCCATCACCGTTGGCATCAGGATCGAGGTGATCGGGTATGCCTGAGCATATGGAAGAAGGAAGTGAGTGTGGTTGGCTCCAACGCACAAGACAGTGCAATTTATACACGAGGTAACCACAAGTTTCTCGAAGAAAGCATCATCCCACTACACATTGGGCAGATGGACGAAACAAGACTAAAGCTATGCCAAGGGTGCACTGAACAAAAGCTGGGGTTAGCTCTCAGACCTCACGTCAGCTGGATATGTGAGCCGCATATGACCATGTGCCTGTGCTTACGTGGGTGGAATCACAACGCCTTTAAGGTGCGTGTAGAAAATGGGGTGTATACCTCATTAGCAATCGGCTGAATGCGTGAGGTGGATAGGACCGTGAAGTATTGCCCCAGGTGATGAAATCACATACCTCGCAGGGTGTCTGTAATGCCTGTTTTGAGCACGTGGGATGAAAGCGTTCAGTTGGGCAGATCACCCTGGCTCAACCATGGAGTGTGTCCTTGCACAGTGCACACGAGTACATGCGGAAAAGAACTGAGTTGAATATTTGGGGCTTCAACTCAACATGATGGTCAAATTCTTGAAGTACAACTAGCAGATTTTCGCCGAGTTTTCGGATTCACGGATCAATCGGCTAACTTGCTCACCCTTTCATGCATGTTGGGACACGCCAACATACCTTGAGGAATCTAAGGGCTTAGCTAAGTAATATAATAAATAATAATAATAGTAAATAATAATAATAACATATAATAAATAAAACAGAAGTCCCAATGCTGATGCACTAATCATCGAGAAATAGGGTCTATCGATTCGCATTTACCTCTCCGTCCATGGCTGTTGGAGTGGATGTAGCATAACCCAATTTATTGTAACCGGGTTGCGACAACATTCTTGTTTTTTGTCACTTTCGGACATGTGCAAACGGCTTCTCCTTGTACGGCTCATCACACCCTGTTTCCTTCATTTGTAACCCTGGTAGGTTACACGCCAGCGCACAAGTACCATAATTTTCTGCACATTGCCGCATCTCCAATTTCTGAGTTATTGTTGTTGAATTATGTTGAATTATGAGTTATGTTGTTGAATTACATCACTAGCCCCAAGTTTTCTTACATTTGGAGGCCCAGGTATCGGCTATCATCGTGTCATGGGGTGAAAATGTATACTTAATAGACCACCCATTCGCCGTGTGCCGATGTCTTCTTGATTGTAACAAAACGTTCACAGATTAAATGCTAAGCTCAAAGAATCGATAAACGATCACCTGATCGATATCTAGTGAAACCATTCGAAAACGCTGACAAGTATGTTGTGTGAAAAATTTGGATTTTTTTTTCAATCACAGATTTCAACTGAAGCGAAACTGTGCTTAGGGGTGAAGAAGCAGTCCTTTTATATTTATTGGGGAACATCAACACTGGGAAACAATTGTACACTGCTTCTTGTATTTCGGCATAGACTGGCTCCACTTACGGAGTGAAGCCTCAACCGAAAATTCCCGGATTTCCATACAGCACCAAATACAGGAGAAACAATAATTAACGTGATAACTGAAACTTCCACCCCATAAGTCGTCGACACATGATAACATGATGTGAACTTCATGATTGCGGGATGAATAGTCTAATTGTGAGGTAATCTCACTGATCGGCCTGTTGTGGTCGAAGGGTTTCGTCTTCGGCCACTGGATGGAAGATCGCCGGTTCGAATCTTTCTGGAAATTCCCGAGATATGCACCGCTGCACCCAAACGAGAGTGAGGAACCTATGGAGTACTTCTTGAACTTCCGGCATAGATTAGCCCCATTTACAGGATAAAATTTGCTTGCTGCTCTTGTGTGAACGTCGTCCTGGTCACCAGCGTCACACGAGTCGCATGATTTTTGTCGAACTCCACGCAATAGTGCTTCTATAGCCCACTAAGAGTTCACAAACGTTACATGCGTGGACAGAGCATAAATCGGTCACACGATACAAGCATCGTTACATCCTGTGAAATAAACAGTTCCATGCATCATTTGACGCCAGATCAACTGGTGTGCAGTATTCATACGTCCGAGACCGGTGAAATGTGTAGGAAGTAGCCCACCGAAAACCTGCTCCGTCCACAGATGCTGACTTCAGTTTATGGTGCATATAATCAAGTCCTAGTTACTTCTTGTTATCATTGCAATCCGTCCAATGTCCGGTTCTTATTTAATAAATCTCTCTATGCCCAATAATGTGCTACATGGTCGTCATCAAAATGTTGCCCCATGGCATTCAGGGTTGGTTTATTTATTTGCCCCTATTCAACTCGATCACCGTGAGAACGATAGATACTCCCAACCTTAGAAGAGTCGGATATATTGGTGTTTGGTGTTTGGGGCAACAGTTTCTTAATAACCGCGGCAAATTAAACCATAGTGTTGCCTATCTGACCATAAAGCAGTTTAGCAAGAATGTGAAACGGCACTCTAGGAGAGTGTCAGCCATGCGATCGTAAGCACATTTTACAGGAATGTATATTACGTAGGGTCTCAGATGTCACATCACCACTCCTTGGTTTAGTTGGTTCATACGATTCTAATAATGTGGCAAGAATTGTATAATCCACTTCAGCCTTTGGATCATTTGGGTAATTTAGGCTGGAAAGGGATTCCCTACAATTCCCACGCTGGAAACCTGTATTGCTATCCGCTGATTTGGAGTCCATTTGCGATTTTGCCGCCCCTTGAGCCTAAGCCAGTCTGTAAGGTTTTTTGTATGACCGACCCTGGTATTTTCAAACATCAGAGTTGGGGTACACTGTGATTGGTGTACTGTTCACCTGTGCGCAAACAACTGTGAATGAGCCGATACAATCGCGTACAAAAAAACCATGTAGTGACCAGCGAAACTTGGCCCAGGTGGTTGGTATTGACTGGTATGTTCTTCAAACAGTTCAGCCGGGGATTAGCAACAAATATAGAATAAACTTATACATTCATCTGCACGCCCATTTGGCTTTCAAGAGAGACTCACCTGGAATCTAGCTGAATCTTTTGTTTGTAACGTTCTTCTCACCTGAATGTGCTGCACCAGGCCTCCTTATATTTCAGCTGGTGTGATATTCGAGATATCGCAATGACGCTACTCATAAGGTTGCTGAAAACTCTTCGACAGCCGCCGACCGGCTTCGACCTTCTTGGGACTCATCAGGTAAGGGTAGTCTCTGAGTTTCCGTCAACTTTACGTTCCACTTGAACCTAACTTGTGCGAACTCAGCGAAGTACCTCCATCTGCATATCAATTTGGTCTTGAAGGGAGACTCACCTGGAACCCAGCTGAATCACTTGTTTATAAAATTCAGCTAGGAAGTCTTATGAATATAGTGAGTGAGTGCTAACGAACAACGAAACAAAATAAAACGCTCGTACTTACCTTGGATCCTTTGAAAAATAATGGAATGGAGTACATTGGTCAAAGACAGTCGAAAACTAATGGAGAGTCTCCCCAATATCGCTTTTTCACAGAAGTGATTTTGCTTATGATTATGAAACCGCACTTCCTTATTGATGTGGTTTACCGCAAAACGGTAGCCTGATTGGTTTAAGATGCAGGACAGCAAGTATTGTTTAAAACGACCTAACTAATCAGTTTATCTGCAATGCGTCCTCTGCTTTTACACGAAATGATTTCTTAAAAAACAAAACCACAAGTGCAGCTCGAACCCCTGGGTAGCTCTAAGGATTCGAACCATCTGGAGTGTAATGCTCGTGATATCAGCACCAGTGAGTCGCAATACCATTAGACTAATAAGATATATGGTAGTTTCTCATTTAGGCCTCTCAAAAACTTCATTAACATTAATGATAGCTTGGCTGGTCATGAACATTACTGGAATCCAGCTAGTTGAATGTGCTTTCACTCCCCCCAGTGAGTTTTGTGTTTTCAGAGTTTTGTACGAGGTTTAACTTCCCTGGAAAAATGATAAACATCAGATAGGAGAAATCAACTTATCTGCATTCATAAAGACAAGCAGTTAAAATTGGACCCATATTCGTCGGTTAATGCTAGATTTGCCCTCCCCTCTTTTTGAGTGCGTCAACCATAATCTGTTAGTTTCAAAGGATTGCTTCAGTCCTGGCCAAAACAAACCAACGCTTTTCTTCTTCCAGAGAAAGTTTTCCACTTACTGATCTAAAATCAAACAATTGTTGGAAAACTTTAAAAGTCTATGCGGTGTGAGGTTCCAAGAATCTAATAATACAAAGTTTTGTAGTGTGTGTACTCCGTGATTGGATTTCTACTTTGCCAGAAACTACCAAATATAGATGAATTCAATGAAAATGTCATGAGAAAACACTGCGTTTTGTGTGGATATAAAGGAGCCATATCAGTCGAAAAGGATGACATGTGCAAAGTTTTCGCAACTGTGCGCAGCTAAAGTGTATGTACAGTAAAACTAAAATGTGTGAGACAGAGATATCGAGGAATACTGGGTATCCAACGCAGATTCTGGTGATTTGTGGTCAGCATGTGGTTTGTAAACGAAGATTTACTCATAGACGCTACACTGGAAGCAGTTTTCGCAGTATTTACCACGAAAACAATAAATGTATTTTGAACAAAAGTTTCGACATCCTCTGCTTTGACCAGCTCGACATCTCTAACCCGTATATTAAATGAAGTTGAAGGTTGTGTTGAAGATACACATCATACGCTACCGTGCACTACATACGTAACCGTACTGCAAAGTCATCTACAACTAAACCGCGTCTTATCATGTTTTGAGTAGAAGCCAAGAAACGACATATCGTGTCAGCCAAAGACATCAGCCGTTTGCCAACTGCCGAACCTCAGCCAGATATACAAAATACCGGCCTCGATTAGGTAAACCAAACGGAAAGCATTTATTATACGTTTCAAGCGACCTTCCTTCTGGTCGAGCCCTCGGAAACGTCCCAAGAGCACTGCATCAAAGAAGGTATATTGGGGCCACTCATCCTATTAAGAATCTATGCAACTAATGTGCCCATGGGTTCCTCGAGTAGAATGCCGATCAGTTGATCATTCTGTCACTTGCGTCAAAAAGGGGAAAACAAGTGAATCATTGCGTTGTGTTGCATTGCACTATCGTTGCTAATAACTCTTACACATTTGGACGTAATGCGCTGAGTGTAGACATCCTTCTAAGCATGAAAGAATCCAGTGCTGACATTTGGCCAGAACATATCCCTGCGCAATCTTTTAAACTGATTAAGCCAGTCTGGGGAAGTGGCTGAAAACGGAATTTTTTCACTACCATCAGCTAAGTGAAGAGCTGGTGTATTGGTCGTTGTAGCTGACTTCACCACCGGTTCCAGATGCACCATTTGTCTAGCCACTGATTCACACCATGCAGTTCCAAACTAGTTGCGTGTTCGATGCATTACTAGGATACAGGTCAATAATATCATTGGGATGTATTTACCAAAGTTCGGCACCAGCGTAGTTGTTTGATGCGTATGACCCCGTTTATGTTAGACCGGGACCTAAGTAGTCCAAAGATCCCTGTGGTATAACGGGATTAAGTAGGTTCATCTGGCTACAACAAATAAGCTGCTAGGCTGATTTGGAAGAAGTTTGACGGGCGCAAACTCAGCATCACAGGGAAAAAATCAAGATTAAATAAGCCACCCTATTCTAACAGGATGGCCTAAAAAGTGCAATAGATACAAAGGCATTAAGTGTTGAGTTGTCAAACGGCATAACCACGATAGAAGTTGAACAATTCGATTAACTAAGGTGCGGGTACTTATCTTTGTATGAAGCATGAATGACTATATCAAATCAATTGCAGTCTCATCTGCTGTTCTTTTGAATCATATTCTGCAACTGAAAGAGCCTCTGTGGCTAAATGCAGCTAGATGTACAGTCACTGGAATACTTTAAGTTTCATCCATTACTTAAATGAAACTACACTGATCGTATCATTAACTCGCTATCGTTTAGTGGGGAAAATTCAGGTGTTTGCCATTTTCGAACTCAGACTGCCGGTAGAATAATTGCGGCTCATTATTTCAGAGGCTTCTCAAACCCCCAGTGAGCAAAGCACACACTCGCTGCATGACACTGAAAACCTGTGCAAGTCGACCACAGTTTGACAAGTTTGGTATACTTTTTGGTATACTGTCGAGCCGTAGGTCACAGCCAGTAATGATGCAATTTAGCAGAATATGAAATGAATTTCAGGCCGTATTTCGACATCCCTTAGATGTTCTCATTGAAATCTATATCCGGAACAAGGGGGTGATGAAAAATGCCTACTAAGTCACCTGGATGTTAACATGTGGATAGAAATAAATCCGATAAGTATTAGTAAACCAGCAATCGGCATGGAATTTCTCATATTTATCGTACAAAACAATCGTCAAATTCATGGCTGCGCTGCTCTCGTTCTTGTTATTTGAATTTCTGTTTCGCCGAGGCCTTTTTAGATAATTATTTCGTCCCACCAAAAAGAGAGGACATCTGGAATCAGTCTAACAAACTCCTAGGTTTCTACCTTCCACCGGGTCCCGCTTTTTGGTTTATAGTTTATTTTTCAGTTTAAGGAGACAATCTCAATCATAAAACACTGACCCAATTATAACGGGCATTTACTATTCCTGACAACCATCAATTTATCGGGACCGATTGGCCGGCTGTGACTTGTCTTTCTGAGAAAATCTGTAATAAACATGGGCATTTTAAAATTTCCAAGATTAGCTTGTGAAGATATGCAATACGCCCCAGTTAAAGGATCACTAACCATCGTTATCGTCATCTTCGTCCACGTGGTTTAATATGCCGTCCATGTCGGAATCCTGTGTCCGATCGATCTTACCATCATTATCTTGGTCGTTGTCCAAATGGTCGGGAATTCCATCACAGTCCTTATCGTTTGGATCACCCAAGTCAACATTCAATAAATTGGCCTGGTTGCGTGCGAGTTCGGCTACACATTTCAGAATGGCACAAAATGATACAACATGAAAATTCATTTTTGCAACAGATGGCTCCCTATGCTAGCAAAATGCCGGAAATTTCCGTTCATCATTCTTATTGTTTGAAATTCTACCTCCCGTTTAGCAGTCAGAAATCTAGTACCAAGTCACAAACTATTTCAAGTCTACAAATGACTGACAGTTTGGCTGTGAACACTGCTTGATGGCCAAAAGTGGGGTCTTGATGTTAGGCTGGTAGGCAAGAGAATCCCGAGATCTATCATACCATCCCCTCAATTCCCAAAACAATCTTCTTAAGCGAGACCGATCTCTGACTGAGCTAGCTTGTTTATATGTTCCCTAGATATCCTTTAGAGCACAGCTATTTTAGTTGTTCTAATTTCCCGTGATTCCTTACACAAGTAACTCCTTATTTCCACTCAGCTGACGTCAGTTCAAAGTTGATGGGCCCAATAAAATAGCTGTGTAAGGGGAGTAATAGAAGTTGCTGATTGTACATTCTTACTGGCAAGTAGGCTACCCACAGCGATCCGTTCGGTATGAGTGCCGATTCACTTTCAACTATGGGGAGGAGTTAGCTCACCCACACTTTGAGTAGAACAGCCCTCGGACGATGCCACTACCAGTAGCCAAGCCCTCATAATTTCCTCATATGTAAACTTGCTGCAGTAAAACAGATCCACCGATGGAACAATAGAAAACATGCGAAATAAAAGAAACAAAATTATTCAGTCTAGGATGGAAACTTCGTGAAAAAATATAATGAGTTTTCAAGTTAGCATGCACAGAAGAAAACGTAATTTATTGTGTATACATGTTTTCTATTCGATTCATAAAAAAAGTAATACCAATTTAATCGCCTAGTGTTTTTTAAGTAAAAAAGTACACCATGCATTTAACAGGAGCTAATAATCCAAAATTGGGTTTCTGGAGTCCCCACTAAATCTGGAACACAATACAGAATAGTCTATGCTAGGCAGTTAGTTATCCCCTCAAAGAACGAAATTATGAAGCTTACACTTAGACCTATAAGTTTGAGTCTAGAACGTACAACAGTCTCTCTGACAGATATCAGCTGATTAACTGGAACAAAACCGTCGCTCTTTATGTAGAGGAGGTCTCTGTTCGTGGAATAAGAATTGGAAACCACTGCCCTGGTGTTTGTTATTTTACCTTATTCAGATTAAATGGCCGATTCATCGGACCCAAATTACTTACCACTGGAATACCCATGGAAGTTTACGGTTGCAGAAACTTAACGTTTTTTTCTTATAATGCATGACTAACATAAAGTAAGACAGTATGCCCCTTAATTTTCTCACACGTTAGACGAACAATCACATATTTATAGATAGCTCATCAGTTTATTGACCATTGGTGCACATGCTGAGTGCATGACTGGCCACAGCTGGACATCCAGTTAGGCATCGTTTATCGTAGCTCCAATCCTAGAGCAGCTCCTCGACGGGCGCCAGATCAGTGATTCGACTCCTGTCTCTAAGCATCTATCTTTTCATTTGTTCTGGATGCATATAACTAAGCATTTTAGTCAAACTATTGAGTTGAAACATACACTAGCGGAAAAGTAACAAAGGAAGCAAGGTTAGCTGAAATGAGATGAATTCATCTATGAGACGAAGACAGTACCCACATCATGTACAGGTGTGGACATATGTGAACTACGACACTTTTTACAAAGGAAACTATGAGTCCATGTGAAGGAAATTTCGCATGTGTATTTTACTTATGACTGTATTATCAGAGTCCCAGCTGAGGTATGTTGGAAATAACTGTATAAAATACATACCACATCAACATAGATGAATTACAAACGTTAGCGGAGAGGAAGACGGGAGACAGACTGAAGAACAAACCATCTGTACGTTTGTGTCTTTGAGGAAGAAAAGTCAGCCCGTAAGTGGAGTGAAGCAAGAAGTGAGGGAGGCGAACTAGGTACGCTGTATGGATGGGAAAACTGGTAAATCCTGCACACTTTCGAAGAATCATTGTGGACCGACCGATGTGGGATAGTTCATATTTTTACACCCACAAAATTCCGGAGTGACGCTGGTAAGCCCCGGTTTATTCACCTACGGAAACTCATGATTAGACCACTGTCCACAGTGGATATCACAAACGCATAGAGAGCTGTGAAATTGGGAGCATTCTACACACTGAGTTAATACAATTAGGCGTTTCGAACTCATAAACGAAATAATAGAATAAAACAATGTTTAAGTTAATGGATATAAGTTTGTACTAGATGGCTATAGGGAAAATCTTGCTGTTTAAAATGAAGCATGCGTCTATTGATTACATGGAACAGCTTAGGTGATGGATTTCATACTCACGATTCGAAAACCAATACAATTAGGGATGAAAGCGTCAGCAGGATAAACTGCAGCCGTACAATTGCACGCTAAACGCAAACAGATTATTCATCAAAACAAACCAAGCAAACATTATGTGGTCATAAACTAGAAACAGCAAACAACAATCTTTTCGCCGAACTGATCGATGATGAAAACTGGGTGTTGTGTAGACGATCAGTATTGTTCAAATTTGCACGAAAAGGCTAAGGAGGAAAAACCTACACTAGACACACAAAGTGATGGACAAACCTTCGTCTGGTTCGCCTGTATTTTGATGAAAGGGGTTGCATAGATCGTCAACAAAATTTCTATCACGAACATGGTTAAACACAATCGATTATTCCGGCACAGTTGCGTTGAGGGATGGCTTGACTGCATCCTCAACATAGTGAGTGGTTAAGGAAAATGGGAACGCTACCATGCTCACATGAAAACTAATATTCAAGATCACTCCAGCAGGAACCGAAAATAGGCACAGTTCGGACGAACATTAGTGAAACCGTGAAAAGTACGTTCCATAGTCTATTTTGATCTCTCTGTTCAGTGTGCGCTGATGTACTATGGGAAATGGGCTTAACCCATCTGCCGAACATATGACCTCAAACTAAAACAAGTAATTTTCATTTTCAGCTAAATTGATTACAAGCCAAACGACTTGTACATAAAGCAAACATTAGATAGGTTTTACATAAAAGTTGGTCGCACTAATCGTCAGCAAACACTTGATCCTTACCAAAATGGTAAATTTGCGAGTGCGACACTTGCTTTATACAAAAACACCATTCTTGAACAATCTCTTAATTCATTCCTTTGAGATATTGCCAGCTTGAAGTAGAACCAAGATGTGTCATCGAATTTCAGAATTTATTTTTTGCAAGAAAGGTACGATCAGCAGATTAATTTTTGGCTAATGTTTGGCATAAAATATAGCGACGAAAAATCCCACGTGTCCATCTCCAAGCGTGACAAATTGTTGATGAAAATTTGCTTCTAGTTACGGTCGGAGACATTTTCTTACATGGACCATTTCCTTGGGCCTTTGTTAAGCAGTTTCCCGATAACCTTTTTCTTATCAACTGGGCTGTCTACCTGACACTCATTAAGGCGCTTGTATTCGATTCATTTTGGTTACTCTGTCCTGCTCTGGTTAGATGCACAGCCATGCCGTTTGTGGTGACAGACGAGCAGTTCCTTGGGTAAGCCGTGAGTGCAAACCCTTGGACATGCAAGTAAAGTCGCAGGCTAATAGTTGTAAACTTTGTCTGGGCTATTTTTGGATGAGAAGAGCTCTAACAAACTAAGGTGAAGCCTACAAAAACTAATTTTCTTGTTCATTGTTCTATCTACCATACTCGCATGTTACGTCGTAGGGATAACCTACCTCCTGATCTATATTAGGCCCATAAAGTTTCGTGTGATAGACATACATCGACTTGACGGCCTTTATCCAACGAAGAAAGCTGTCTCCTGTTCCAAACCCTCACCGATAAAAGTGCGCAGGTGGATGGAACTTGAATCGAAAACGATTACAGCCAAAAGGCCTTCCGTGAGAACTTCGCGCCTTCCTAGCTGAGGTTAATGTGGTCTCCTGAAATGCTTCGGAAAATCAATAGGGCATTTCGCGTAACCATATTCAAAGGTAAGCCCGTCTTCATTCCTTGGTTGGATTATAACTTGGGTTTATTTTGGGTGTCAATGGCTAACTCGATTACGGATGCCTAATGTGTCTACTTCAGTGCTGTTAGGAGGTGCGTGAGCAATGTTGGTGATAATTTTCCTTGAAGACAAAATCTTTGCTCCAGGTTTGCACCACTGTTGTCTTCCCATTAACACATGTCATTGTAACATAAATTTGAAGTGATCGCATAACGAAACAGGGGAAGGACAACTGGCTCTGCAGCCGCAGAAGTTGCATACATAGAAACTAGGTGCGTATCACTTTGGAAAAAATGGGGCCTCTACTTCGACAACGGGACGCGAAGGGGAAATTCAGTCGGCACCAAATGCGACACTCGATAAAACTATACCCATGTTACTGGAATCAAGACGTTTCCAGCTGTTAGTTCACCAGATACCTCTGTTGTAGTAGACGGTCTCCAAAATAAGTGGAGTCAGCTGCACCCAGCCGAACCAGTAATGCGCAACATTCAGATGTACCTTTTGTTCAGATATTCTTGACATCACATTTTTTAACATACCAGTAAAAGAAAACCTGCTAGTTTACTCACCCGTGTCCAGTGGGGTTTTTTATAAAGAAATCTGCTAATACTGGCGCTCTAATCTGACCTGATAAAATTTAAGTGAAGGTGAAGTGCTTGATATATTTTCGTAACCACGATAAACTGTTATGTGACAGCATGGTTTGTATTAGAACAATCTTGTACAGATTAGTCCTTTAGTGATTTAACATTCGTCCTTCGCACCGTGCTTCAAGTTTGACATGGAAATCTGAAGTGAATAGCTAAACCAAGTTAAGGAATGTGGGCTTCAGCATTTGAGGCCAAGCAAGTAAATACCTACCAGTCTTAGGAATAAAAACCTAGCCAGTTCTGCACAGTTTCTGTTGAATGTGGTTGACCCGTTATAAACACTACAGGGAAGCACCGAAATGTCGTGCTGTAGAATAATATCATTTTTCATTCTTGTCAACAGAGCATAAACCTGAAAGCGGTAGTATGTGACAGAAAGTGACTGTCTTCTCGACCCAGAAAATTGCTCACAAGAAACGCTAGTGACTTCACGGATACTTTTAATCTGAAAACGATGGAGCAATTATCTTGAAAGGAAACCGAACACCAACCTGGAATGGCTTCCAAATAGCGTTTGTGCTTGTAAAGTAGGAAGGACAACGAGTCTGGATCACGGTGATCCGGAACACCATCATTATCATCGTCATCGTCTAGGTGGTCAGGAATTCCGTCACCATCGGAATCTTTCGGCTGACAGTCTATTATGCCATCGCCGTTGGAGTCTGGATCATCTTTGTCTGTAAACCACGTAAAAGGTTAGCAGAATTACAAATCTCTCATTAGTCTCGGCAAGTCGTGCTGGTTAACATTTTCGCATAAGTTGAAATAATTCACGTGGTCATTTGCATTGGAAGGAGGCAGTAATTTTTACATTAGCTGATTCACCAAAGCCTTATTGTGTGGCACAAAAACAACCTGGAACCATAGAAAGATTCGAATATGGGCTCTACATTCTAAAATCGAGTAAGAATAAGGGAATAAAAGTTAGAAATTAAAACACCCCCACATTTTGAATTACGAATGGGCTAATCAGTCTATGGGCATATGAACTCAGGACAATGGCACGATCTATGAAGCATGTTTAGCTACAGTTCGTCGTTATCAGATCACCCTGTATACATGACTCCTCAAAAGCCGCCGCGTACATGAAAAGCAGCCGCTAGTGGTAAACTGTCAGACCCCGCCAACCAAGTCTGCCTTGCAGAAGAGTGTGAATTCGACTGATGCTAATATACCAAGGACAGTGCGCTTGAAGTCTGTTGACTACATAATTTACCCCCTGTGTATTAGTTGTAGTAGATTAAAGTGAATTTTGGGACCATCCCGGTTGCTACGCTCATGCAAGCAATTTCACTCGGGGATGAGACTTTTTGAGGCAAATTGAATACAGATGAGCTCTCTAGTTCAGCAATCTAGTACCGATAAACTAACCTGGAATTCCATCATTGTCATCGTCATCGTCCCATTCGTTCAATATTCCATCGTTGTCACTGTCCTGTGGGGAAAATGTGCAGGACATTTTAACGGTAGTTCAAACCAGCAGTTTCATTAAGCCCAAAGCCATAAGCCGTCTTCTGTGGCATTACTGCACCATACCTGAAATTTGGCCTGGTACTTGAACATTATGTCATTTCGTGGTGTTGTGAAAGAAGAACAAGGTGATTTGAGATTCCGATATACGAAGACCATCGAGTAAGATAGAATGCAAATAGAGCAATATAGTATAGAGTAAAATCTGTCCACAAAACACTATGCCCTCAAAAACGAATTGTTTAGATCAGCCTGATCAGTCAACCAGGATGGTAGGAGGAACTAGCACTAATACATTCATAATTCACCTGCTTGTTGTCGAAATAGCCATCATTATCATCATCAGGATCAATTATGTCCGGAATTCCATCACAATCGTGATCCTGTAGATGATCTGGTATGCCGTCATTGTCCATATCATCGTCTATACTGTCAGGAACACCATCATTGTCAACATCTTGGAATAGGTCATGGGTTCCATCACCATCTGCATCCTGGTCGTTATGGTCGGGAATTCCGTCATTGTCGTCATCCTTATCCAAAACATCAGGAACGCCATCCTACAATTAGAAAACAAGGAGGTAATTTTAGCGAATTTAAACTTTGGTGGTTAAAACATTATCACCGACCACTTCACGTGTTACAAACGGTACAA